TTCCCATAACTTTTTTGCTTTGAGGCTTCTGAGCTCTAGGTGAAGCCAAAAAAACAATTACTACTAAACTGGTGACTGGGATCATGTAATAATTTCACCAGTGATCAGTGCTGCAGGTTATGAGTGTCTCAGTGACAGGTAAATAGGCCTGTGAGGTACAGGCATTAAAAGGAAATGGAACAGTTCAGTATAGACAACTGTGCTCCCTTTGAGCACACTGAGGACACAAAATGTCCCTTTATAGGACACTGGTTCCTCTGAAGTGGAGGTGGCTGCTGCTGCTGAAATTGCATTTTGATTGCTCTCAGGAGAGTCCACTGCCCTCAAAGGAGAGCTGTGATGGAGAAGAGCTTGGAGGGATGAAGGCAGGAAGAGTTTGTCCACTCCCATCCCAAAGATTTAGAAACTTCAGGGAAGGCAAGGAGCCAGAAATAAAGTGAAATATCCTCAATGAATAATTCATTGGCTGGAAAATGTTTTTTTAGGGAAACTGAAGCTATACAGGGATTTGGACAAATTCAGCTGAAACATACTCAGCCATAAAAAAGATGGATAGGAGGGAAATACACAAAAGTCTTGAAATATGTTCTAATATCTTGTTTCAGCCATCTGGATAGATTCCTTTAAAAGGCACAAAGATTTGGGGGTTTTGTCTCAAAATCTTTCTCCTCCTCTTCTTCTCAACTTTTCTCCTTTTCTCCTTGTCTCCTTTTTTTACCCTTTTCATTTTCCCTAAGTTTAAAGAGCAAATATACTAGAAGGTGTTACTTTATCTGAAAATGAAATTGATGTTGATTTGTATCTTTAGGCACTGCTTTTTGTTCCTTTCCTGCTTGCTCAGGGAGCCCAGCACTGATTAACTCAGAGGATAGCATCAAGAGTTGTCTGCTCAGAGCATCTCCTTTTCCCGAGTTCTGTCACAGTTTTCAAAGTAGTATTCAGTGAAGTTGCTAATTGCACAGTTTCTAGGAAAACACAGAAATACAGCTTGTGTTTGTCAGATCTCTGGTATATGCATTGGAAGGTCTGCACACAGAGGAAGTCTGTGGCTCCATGAGAAGGTGGAGGAGGCTGGTTTTGGTGAACTCATGTACCTGGTGCTGCCTGTGCTCCCTGGCAAGCCTCAGGGGCGGAACACTCTGTCACTGCATCTGGGGACACACATAAATCATCTCCTTGGTCAGCCCAGTGGGGAGCAGAGCACGTCAGGAAAGCTGACAGATAAGTGAAGTGCTCAGCTAGAGTGATCTCCCAAGAAACAGAAGCTTCAGAAGGTTCAAATGCTCTGTGGTAGCACTGAGATACAATTCGGTTGTGTACTGCATAAATCATGTAGAATAGTGACACATCAGCAAGGCAAGGATGGGCGCTTGTCAGGAAGAGCCTGGCTGCCGTTTTTTGTAGATAATACTGGTTTTTCTCATTAGAATTACTCTCTCATGCAACCTAAACATAGGTTAATATGTTACATGTTAACATGATGTTAAAGCTAAAGCAGTGTAATTCAATTAATTAGGTGTGGGTAGCATTCACCTTCCATTGTAAAGGGACCAGAGGAAAACACTTAATAGCTTCTTGTTTTGCTCCATACCTTAGCATCAGTTCATTCAAATAACCTTCTGACTCAAATAAGTTCTTATATTAAATTATTATGCTTTGCTGAACATTTCTACCCTGCATCAACATCATGACAGGAAAGTTAACACGTGCTGCTTTGTAGTTACTGGAAGTGGACAGAAAAGTTGCCACATGAGTGAGGAACACCCAGATAGTTTCAAACCTCTGCCCTTCCTCCATGGGGTATCTCCTCATTTCTTCCACCTCTGCCCCAGCATTTGCAAAAAATAACATGTGCAGAAAAGCTGAGAGAGAGATCCCACAGATAAACCCAGGTCTCCAGCACTTGTAGGTGTTGGTGTGCCCAGATGAAGGAACTTGAGTGGAAAATGACTGGAAGGGGAGCATTAATCCAGAGAAGAATTTGAATTGGAGTTTGTGGATACTTTTGGTTTTATTTGTGGTATTTTCCTGTATAAAAGGAACCACCTATTGTGGTTTAGTATTGGGGCCTTTGCAGAAAGAAGGGGTTTGGAGAATAAAAGACAATTTTTCCTCTGACTTTATTATTACTAAGGTCTCCTGCTGCATCCCTGAGGAATTTATATTAGAGAGGTTTATTCTACTAACAGTCTATTAGCAGGATTGGCCCCTTGTTGAAAGCATGTCGCAGTACATGAGATTAAATAAGTTAAAATAAGATGAAGTTGTAAGGAATTTGGTTGCATGTGGGCACTGAATATTTTTTCCTCTGTGCTAAAGGTATTGACTTTGGTCATTAATTGCTTTGTGAACTGAGTCACTGTAAATGGCCCAGACCTTGCTAACACTATCAGCTAAAAATAACACGTGTAATGCATACATTCCTGGGGAGACACTTTGAGATACCAAGTTCTTTTTATAGCCTGGACTTCTATTTTATTAGTCTCTGGCTATGCTGTGGAGTAAAAACAATTAAATTATCTCAATATCATAAATACATTTAATTTTTTTCTTTAGAATGACATACCTTCTTTTTCAGGTACTTAATACAATGTAATGCTGTTAAAGACTTTACAAGACAAGGAGCAGAAATGCTTTATTAAATTCAGAAAGTCCTTTGCCTAGGATATTGCTCCACTATAAAGATTTTTCTACTTGAAATCAGTGAGACCCACTTCATTCAAGAGTTTGACAAATGGTAGTGCTGTACACATCAGAAGAAATAAAGCAGTAATAACAGGGAGATGGTTGCACAGCTGGGTTTGGTTCCATCTCTGATAGAAGGATCTCTGCACTGCCCCTTACTACTCTACAGAAGCCAGTCTAGGTGTGTGGCTGTGGCCAAACGTGTGCTACAGGTACTTGTGTGCTGGTGCACTGACCTCTCTTCTGGTGCTACAGTTCCTTCTGCTGAAGGATTTTGAAAGAATAGAGTGGTCTTTGAAATATAGACCATCCCAGATCCACATCTGTGCGTGTGAGCATGAGAGACAGCTGTCTGAAACTATTTACTCTTGTAACTCTGGTCTCCATTCCTGGGAGAAGCAAAGGAGAAAAATGCTAGAAGTGGAAGACAAAGAAGGGAAAACCCAGAGATGGCAGCGATGCCTGGATTAACTGGGCTGAGAGGGCTTTTTCACAGGCTGCATTTCTCAGTCTGCAGCCTCATCTAATGCTAACTGTACTACATTTGGTGTTTCAACAGACAAAAACCCAAATTTGCACTCCAGCCCTTCATAATGTAACTCAGTCACTGATATATGTATAATACATGTATGTATTATGTATATTATGTGTAATATATATAATACATGTATTATGTACTGAGCTTTGAAAAACACACAGTATTTTCCGCAAAATACTGGATGTAAAGGCAAAGCTAGATAAAAAATAATTGGAAAAAAACTGATAATCACCAGTGAGATACAGAGATGTTTATGTCTTGTATTTCAAATTCCTGTCCATACAGTTAACACTTGCAGCAGTCTATATGGAGCTTTCACACGCAGTTAATCTTGGGCATACACACAAATTCTTTTGCCAGCTGGGTCATGTAACATACTTTTCTTAGTTTCCAGGTCTGTGTATCCAGTCGAGATGTAAGGAGAAGAGAATAATTTGACTGTTTTCCACTGCAATGTACCATATGCCTCATGGGCACCTATGATCTACTAGTGCCACATGGACATAGTTAGCTGACCATTTGCTTGGCACTTCTTGTGGTGTATTAAAAGATATAAGTCAGTTCACACTGAATACTAAGTAGTACAGACTGGATTAGCTACGGTTATACCCATTCTTCAGTCCAAAAGGCATCCATTTGCTAAGGTGGACAGCAGTTTATTATAGTTTCCTGTAGTTTCCAAAAGAGTTGCCTTCTTCAGTACCAAGCACTGTGTAATGTCTTGAAACAGTTATTCTTTCATATTATATGTAGGACGTGATCACAGCGCTTCAGGAGGGCAGTAAAAACTTGCATGGTTCATGTGGATGCTTCTTGCTGTTTTCTGGAATTTGACTTAATGAAAACAAAGTTGAGAAAAGTGCTTGTTTTGTTTTGGTGTTTCGTTACTTTTTTTTCTTTTTTTTATTATCTCAGTCCCAGTTTGCATTATCTTCCAGAAATTGCAATATTGGATCCAGCTGGAAACGACTGCAGTATTATTTTGCCGTAGCACTAAAGCATTTTGTCTAGAAGTTCAGCTATTTAGATTACATATCACTCTTGAAGCCTAATATTCAAGAGCTCTTCATTAGAAACATCAATGGTATTAAATAGAAATGGATCTTGCATGATGATATAAAAAAATCCAACTAGTAATGCAGTATCCAGTTGGTATAATATTTCCACTGTAATGCATTTCTGGTAACTGTGAATTCCTTAACATAGAGGAGGGTAACTAAAACAACACAATATATTTATTTTACTACTTAGAGCTTTAATGAACTTCAGGAAAATAATTTCAACACTACGTTTTAAAAGCACTGTTACCTTGTACACACTGACCAGGGTGCTGCAAACAATTACACTTGGGCCCAGCCTTGCTGACTGCCAATGGCCAGCTCGTGTGTGTGTGAAGTGAGACATACGTGTGTGTACATGTAGATATCAAGGCCTTGCTCTACTTTGGAAAATCTGAAATGTTTTAACCAAGGGGTAGATTTTGCAGCAACACTGCAAAATCAAGCAGATAAAGCCTTTTGGTCTGCTGCTGACTAAAGGTTCCTTCTGTCTGGTACTTGAATAGGAAACTGCCAGATGTGCCTTGTGAGCTTGGCCACAATTCCCAGGTACCAGCCCGCAGTGGGCTGGTGCAGGATATGCCTCGGTGCTTCACTGTGCACAGCTGTGCTGATAGCGGTAGGAGCCCTCTTCAAAGGTGCCTCCGTTTTGGGCCAGAGCAAGAACCAGTCCTGCACTGCCAGTGTCCCAGTTAATTCTCTCCTGTCTTGTCCTGCAGCTGGCTGTGCCACACAATGACGAGTGGACACGTTTCGCCCGGACCCTGGTGGAGATCCGCGCCAACCGAGCCGACAGTGAAGAAGAGGGGGCGGTGGAGCTTTCAGCATAGAGGGAGAGGAGCAGCGCCCGCCACAACAGCAGCTTCCCCCACCGAGTGCGCCAGTGTTCAGTGTCAGAGTCAGTCTTGCTGTGGCTTTTGATGCCAGTGTACATGCCAGTATTGCTCAAAGCATTCCATATTAATCACACTGCTTTATACAAGGCTGAAAATATCCAGAGCATTTTCATACTTTATATTCCTGTCTGAAAAGTAAGAAAGAAAAGACAAATCAACCCTTTATGGGTTTAGTTGTTGCCTTTTAACTACTTAGTAGCTGTATTTAATAGCTAGGAACCCCTGGTTAAACTTGTGCTCACATTGCCCTTCTGGCATAGTCCTATTAAATCCATATGAAGCCAGATATGATTATGTGCAGATGTGGTGTGCTTCACTGTATGGGACTGGGCCAAAGACTTTAGATGTGGTGTATCACATGGTGACTTACATTATGAATGGATGTACTATACGAAAGTTGCTGCTCCTTATTTATTGCGGTGTGCTGCATGGAACATATTTATTTGAAAGCATTAAAATAAACGATCCTAAAGCATGTGCATAATGAGAGAACTGCATTGTCTGTGTGCTGCTGTAGAGGTTACATTGAAGTCCACGTAACAATTACAGTACATCAGTTGTGCTTAAGATGTAAGATCTATAAAGGTTGGCTTGAGTGGACGGAATGAGTTCCCTTTCCTTTTTTTTAAGATGCCTATTATTTCTAGGCACTTTAACTATATTTCAGTTGGTCACTGATACTTGTCACGCAAGTTAACACTAACAGTCTGACAAAGGGTTGTGGTTCCCAAGTATGACACCAGTATTGCCAATAAAATGTATCAGGCCTGTTCTGTTGCAGTGTGGTTGATCTTTCCTTGCTAGCAGTGCTCACTATGTTCATTACCAGTCTCTGTTGAGGCACCGGGCAAATGTGACTGCACTGACTCACAGGAAGCTCATGCAGCTGCTCTGTAAATAGTTACCTTTGTCATTGGGACTGCCAGGTAATGGACCTGCGTGGATCAGACCCTGCTGCCAATTTTACGTGGGCAAGCACTAATGCATGTCAGCTTCTGGGCTAATTTTTATTTTCCCTCCATCCCTGTTGTACTTACCTGCACACACATGCACACACAGAGCAGCAGCGTGCTGCCATATGTGCTGAAAGAAAAGGAATAGGAGAGACAAGGCCTTTGTAGACTGTCTTGAGAGACAGGTTGGGACAGGGGACAAAGGAACAGGCTTTATGACAATCTTGTGGCCTGAGGAAAGGAACAGTGCAGATTGGTCTCATTGAGTGCTGTGGCCCACGTGGATATTGGTGACGAGGCTGCCTCAATCAATATGTCCATGTCACAGCACTCTGCTGAGCCAGAGGGCAGCTCTGCCATCTGAGTTTAGCAGTGGCTCACACTCAGGGGCATGGAGGTGAACCATTCTAGCAAGAAGCACTGTGAGTCTGACAAGAAAGATCTTGTACATTAAAGTTTCTCATCGCATTGGCTCATCTTATCTTTGGGCAGTCATGTTGAGGAATGAATCACTGGCAAGTCTGCACTGCTAAACCCAGAGTAGGCTGAGAAAAATGTATCCTTTGGAAAAGCTGCCCTTTTCTTCTTAGTGGTTAGAAGCAACTCCCAGTGCCCATGGAGTGTCCTTCCACTGAGCTGTGGGGAGCATCTTCTCCCAGAAGGCCTAGTACACAGCAGAGATTTATCAGTCATTTTCAGGTGGCTTCCTGAGATTGGAGCCATGTTAGAGAACTCTGTGTTTTTCTTCCATTTTTTTTTTTTTGTGTGTGTGTGAGGTCCAGCAGTACACAGAGGGAACAAGGAAAAGATCTGAATTTCCACAGAAATCACTAGGTTTGTATCTACAGAGCAATAACGTGAAAGAGTCATTTCACACAGCTGAAGCAGATGGAAAAGCACCCATGAACAAGAGGCATTTACTTTCCTTCTGCTGCTCATGATTATCCTGCAGTGGAGTTTGACCTGCCCTCGTTGCTTCCCTTCCCAGAATCTCCCACAGTTCTTGTTTGTTTGATTTTCCTGCTGCTAAACAAATAGCTGCATTTCACTGGCTTTCTCAAACAGCCCATATGACAAAATGTTACTCAGAATCTGCCCAGTAGGGAAATAAATACAAAATTATCCTTGAATTTGAGCAAAAAGAAACCATCTTCTCCTGTCTCTTTTGCCTTGTGCTCAGACTGAGCTGGAGAGCACATCTGAACCACAGAGGTCAGAGAAAGCAAACCAAACTATCGCAGAAGTAGGCAAGTGGCAGGAAGAGGCTAAATTGAGGTTTAGGATGGAAGACAGGACTGTATGGTACATGTGGAAGGGACAACTCTCCTATATTCGTTGAAGGAAAGTCCAGAGTCTCCCTTGATTTCAGTGCCAAGGATCAGAGCTACACCAGCACAGACAAGAGGAAGAGGAATGATGTGGCCAGGGACATGGATTTGTTCTGAAAGGAGCTGTGAGAGGACATAGGGAGACATGACAGGTACTGGGGGTGGGAGCTGAAGGCATTGGCTGAAAGGTGAAGCAGGATTCTTCACCTTTATGTACTTTATTCAAGAGACCCTATGGTAACAGAGAAAGATGATGATAGCCAGGGTATACTGAAAGAACACATGCACAGCACTGGCCACCCTGGAATCTGACCAGGACACACAAAACTGAGCACGGGGCTGGAATGCCAGGTGTAAATAACAGCACTCGGTGGGTCTTTGAAAGGCGGAAGTCAAATAGGCTACCTCTGAAGTCTGGGAACACCACAAACATCTGCATGGAAAGGCTATCAGAACAAGTCTTTTCTGCTGAGATTAGACTCCATAGAGTTACCTGTAGCTTATTACTTCAAAGAGACAAAGCAGGTGGGACAAATTATGCTGGGTTGCAACAATTCAAGAGCTGCAGCTTTTTCCACAGAATACTCAGCAAGTGCTCCATAATAAATTTTCCAAGATGGATGGTGTTTCCTCCTCGGTCTCAAAACCAGTGCCCCAAACATTTGCTACTTCTGGAAACATCAGAGGCCCTACAATGCCCTGGAATAACATCATCTCACACTACAAATGACAGTCTGCATCTATGGAAACAACTTGGAATAGGTTCTTTCACACAAGACAGGTGGAAAACCTCTGAAGAGTTTTAGCAACTGATAAAAAGCATGCACAGCAGAATACTGAAAACCCCTCACAAAGCAAAACGGCATCCCACATGGAGTGGGATGCTTTCCACTGACCAGTGACAAAGGCCACTCTCCTGTCTTAGGACTCAGTGCCTACGGGTGCTATAGGGTAGCTACCTGTCCTTGGGAAGCTTACAGGACTGGTTCTCCTTCAAAGTCACACACAAAGATACTTCTGAAGTAATACCACCGTGTCTGGTACACAGTGTCTGCACAGCCTGGGGTGTGAGGAAGGCCAGGCAATGTAACTACAGCAGCTGGAATGAATCTTGCAAGCAATAATACTGCTTCCTGGTGATGAGGAACAGTGCAAGGAGCAGCTAAAATGATTGCTACACTTCAAATGTCATCTCTCTGAAGGGCAACAGACACTTTGATGACATCCCCACATTCAGCACTAGGGAAGGCTGCCCAGTCTCACAGCCTGAGTTGTCTGCTGCCCGCCGTGCAGAAAGCAGAACCACCATATGGCACGTGGCATTAAAGAAACCACTTCATCCCAAGCAGCTTCTGTGTTATTTGATGTTTTTTAAGGTCTCTGGAGACACTTAAAATACAAACATCTTGAGATTGGTATATTCTCAACCATTAAATAACTTACAAATGATTATTATCTCTAGAAATTGCCTTCTAGCTTATGCAAAAAAGGCAAATATTTGAACCGAAAACAGAGTCTGAGTTTCACAGCAGTGCTTAAACAGCAAAGCTGGAGGATTCTTGATTGTCCCTGTGCAACTGGAGAGGATCTCAGCAGCACGCAGTGTGACATGTATGTGCACAGAGAGCAAGGTCATTCCAAGCAGGCTGTCCCCTCCTAAGATGATGCAGAGCTGCTTGTCAGATTTTGTATTTTTAGCAGGTTTAGAAAAACCTGCCCAATTTATTTTTGAGCCCTGTGCTAAGTTTGCTCACAAAAGCATCCCTGCAAACTGTCAGTATTAAGTCAGCTTAAACCCAACCCAATCCCTGGGGACCAGGCAGGAAAGCATCTCCTGGCTTCTGCTGGACCAAGAAACAAAATCAAGGTAACTGCTTCAGGGACACCCCTGCTCCACTCTCAGTCTGACAGGTAACATCACCAGGTTTTGGCCATTTCTTTTTTCTAGAAGTGCTGTCACAGGAAGTTAGCTGGAGTGCAGGAAGCAAGTGAGGTTTCTTTTTTATCCATTTGCATAACTCACCCAGAAACCAAGAGAGGACAATGTCCTCAGGGCGTTTTGTTTGTTTACAAGGCAATCTGGCAATTCCTTGGCCTGCAAGCTTTTCAGAGCAGGAATGCATCCTTTTGTGTCTGGAGGAAGCCGACTGTGGGCACAGATCTTCCCCAAGATCTCTGGGCAGAGCTGCAGTATGATTTGGAATGTTTTAAACGCACTTCATGTTAACAAAGCAGCCACTGGCTCTTCAACACTTCTGCCCCTACATCTGATGTCTACTGACCCTGAAGAAATGGGCAGGAGAGAACGATCCTCCAAGAAAGTTAATGGCAAAGGGAAAGGCCACCATGGGTGGGGTGGGGGTGTCAGTCCAGCCCTGCTCAGAGAAGATGAAGGCTGTGGCGTTCTGAGATGGATCTGCCATAGGAGAGCTGTGCCTGAGCTTTGTTCCTGTGGGAGCTCTGCCCTTCATCCCCAGAATAAAGAACAAGTCTTAAATATACTGCTAGGCCTGGGAATGAGAGGGCACCAGAAGGCACAGAAATGGTTTTTGCGGAACACAAGCAACGAATGGTCTTTATCACATGAGCCAAGAAGTTGTGCAAGCCCCACAATTACGCAGCTCTAATTCCTCGTCCGTTCCTGGCTGCAAAGCCCCAGCAGCGCTGGGGTTCAGGGTCAGGCAGCACAGGGACATGCTCTGGTGGGTGCAGCTTGGGTGTCCCTCTCCAGAATGAGCCAAGAGGAAGCAGCTGCCAACCAAGCCCATCCAGTGGCCAGGCACTTCCTCTCCTGGATCAGGGAGAAGGTGCAGCTCTGCACTCAGACGTCTTCCCGGGGCTGCTGACATTCCCCAGAAACCCCTCACATGGTATGTCAGCCAACCTGAGAGGTGAAGTATAAAACCAGCTCTTAAACAGCCTAAAATCTCATGTGTGAAGCACAGGCAGCTCCCAGTGAGAATGTTTTACTTCTGTGACATGCTTTTTAACCAAAAATCCTGGTTAATTTTTAAGGGTTAGCTTAAGGGAGAGCTTTTTTCTCCCCTCTTTCTGAAATGAGGGAGCTGTTGTTTGGGGAGACTTGGATACACAGGGCTGGCAAGAAGCAGCTGCTGCCTGTCAGAGCAGTCTCTGCACAGTGGTTTAGCCAGACTCCAAGATGCAGCTGGCAGGTAAATGTCATCTGCTCCCCTCACCTTCATGTGCACAAGTGCTACTCCTACCCTCGAGCTTCATTTCACTAGTAACTTCAAAATACAAATTAGCCCAGGAGAATAATTTTCATGATGACCCAAACAGAAATGCAAAATCAAGAGAGATTTCCATTTCAGTATTTTCACAAATTACAGCACAGTGTGGTATTGCACAGCAAACTCCTTCTTCTGCAGATATGCTGCATCTGTGCATTCCCTCAGTGTACAGTCAAGGTTGAAGGCACTCACCCTCATGCCTCCCACTCCAAGGAGACAAGCAAGGCCAAATTCCTCATCCT